ATGACAATACTATATTCGTCTGGGATAAGAGTATAAAAGAAGATTTGCATGGCTTTAGCACTGAGTTGGGCAAACGTCTATCTTCATTTGTCCACTCTGATCGATTTCTTGGAGGGGTGGGATAATTGTCGATGATAGCATCCCAAACCGCAAGATCGATGGTTTGGATGAACAACATCATCCTATTCTTCCAATATGAATAATTTGCTCTATTGAAATAGGGTGACCTAGTGATGGAGTGCAAATCCTCGAGGTAGTATGATCCAGATTTGGAAGTTATCTTCTCGGTTAAAAAAATTGATAGAGTGTTTCTAGGATCTTCACAAGGTTGTTAAACAATCAATTTTGACCCGCTTTAATACCAGTTTAACAGTCCACGCCAACATTTCGTTACCCCAGTAATGGTGTTAATAACGAGTGATCGATTTGTTATAAACTGATATGTTAGTGACCAATTTTTTAGTTTTGAAATTTCAGTGGGAAAAACAAACACTTAATCAAATATTAGTTACTATTTGTGTAGTTTATCCTAATAATAATCATGGCATTCAAATAAAACTGAAAACAAAGATTAAACTGTAATTGATTTTCCAAAAAATGAATTACTGGAAAATGAATTACTGGAATTTGAATTCTGGAAAATGAATTACATTTCTGGAAAATGAATTACATTTCTGGAAAACATCTGGAAAATGTTTTATGATGTTTGGAATATGTTATTTAAACCTTTTTTCCACTAGTTGAAGAGTTTTTTTAAAATTATTTATTACAAATATTAAATATAATAAATAATATTATTGCTCATAAAACTTAATATTATTATTTTAAAATATTAAAATAATTTATTTATTATTAAATATTTTTTTATAATTTTATTAATAAAAATATTAATATTGGTATATTTTAGTGAAATAAAATATTATAAATTATATTAATTATTTATTAAAGTAATAGTGTTATATTATATTTTAAAAATATTAATTAGTATATTTTAAATATCTTTACTAGTATATGTTTTAAATATATAAATAATATTATTCATTATTAAATATATAAAAAATTTATTATATATTATTAAAATAAAAAAATATAATATCTTATATTATTATAGTATAATTGATTATATTATTAAACTAAAAATATAATATTATATTATTATAAATATTAATAAATATATTTTAAATATTTTAATAATTAATATTTTGATGAAAATGATATTAAAATATTTTATTAATATTAAATTCATAAATAAAATTATTTTGAATATTTTTGCTTTGAAGTAAAAAGTTCGGAAAATGACTTACGGAAAATGAATCCGTAAATCATTTTACAGAAAACACAAAGGAAATTCTGTTACTTGGAAAATGAATTACGTTCCGGAAAACGAATTACGTGAAACAAACACGGGAAAACATTTTCCGGAAAACGAATTACGTGAAACAAACACGGGAAAATATTTTTCGAAAAACGAATTACATGAAACAAACACGAGATTTCGGGGAAAACCAATTCCGTAATTGGTTTTACGGCAAACAAACACACCCTAAGTGCATTTAAGTGCTCTAGAACCTACTATCTCGAGAGTGTTACAACAACAATATCAAATAGATCAAAGATTAAGTTGACAATCATCCCTAATAAAATTTATTTTTTGATTGTAAGAGGATTATATATTTCCAAATTGTAAATACATCACAATATGTGTGTATGTTAGCATAAGATATTCAAGCGCATGATAACCGCCTCTACTAATAATATTTGGCTAAACAACCTAATCAAAACTTACATTTAATTTAAAGTATCCTATTATTATTCAATTTACGCGTGAGTTACATCATTTCTTTCTCAACCGTTTTTTCTATAAACCGAAATATAAAATATGAATAAATTCAACACTAATTTAATTATAAATTATAAAAATAATTTAATAAAAAATTATAAAATCACTATAATCAAATATAAGTTGGTCTAATATGATGAGGCATTAGGTTCCTTAAGCAAGGCCAGGAGTTCGAATTCTGGCGTTTGCTAATAGAACAAACTGGGTTGAGAGGGTCACCCTCGCCTCTGTAATATCCGATCTGAATTAGTCGGTCAATACATTAGATACCAATGATTAATTCAAAAAAAAAAAAGCAAGTAATAAGATCCGTGCGACTCTGCGAGGCTCCACCGCTCATTATTCCTTGCTTCCACAATCCATGAACATTCACGCTCATAGATTTTCCTTTTTTTTTTATTTTAATAATACCGAAATCATGGTGGCTGGAACAAGACTCAATCGATCAATTGGAATCGAAAACAATAGCACAATGATTAAATTAATAAAATTAAATTAAAAATTATATGAATTATATTTGTCGCGACCGTCTTTTTGTTTGGCCCGGAATTGGGCTTCGACTTAGGAAAATAGATTAGGAGTCGCCACCGACCATTTAAAACGAATTTAGGTGGGCCGGACACCATCTTACCTGATCTGCGTTTTACCAGAAATGTGTCGGGTTCGGGAGTCGGTTACGGTCAAGGAATGATTAGCACCCTTGGACTGCCCTTTTGGTACCAATTAATTTTTTGGTTATCTTTAATTGTCAAAATTAAAAATTTAAACTGAAATTTAGAAACTCGATTCAAATTACTTACATTTGATCAATTGAAAATATCCCTAAAAAGAGTCAAGAATGTTAGGAAAAAAACAAGGAAACAAATAATAAATCAATAAATCAATAGAGGAAAAAAATTAACTAAAAGGAAACACAAAAAATTAAATAAAATAACATAACATAAAAAATATAAATATTAAATAAATTAGAGGTAAATAAAATAAAAATTAAACTTTAAAATTAGTAAAATAAAAATAATGAGAAGTGAAGAAAAAGAACATACTAAAATTTAAAAATGAATAACTAAAAAAATGACAAAATTAAAAAGGAAAAGAAAAAACGAATGACTGAAATTTAAATGACCAAATTGAAATAAATTAAAATTGATAGAGTGAAATTAATGTTAAAAATGCACTGCAAGAGGGGGGAAAATTAGGGGGTTAATTCGCAAAATGTAAAAACATGAACAATTATTAAATTGATTCAATTGAAAATTTAGAGGCATAATTACAACTGGAGACCAAATTGTAAAGCGATTCAAAATACCATGGACGACAGAAAGAATTAAAGAATCCACGATTTGCACAATTGTCCTCGGTATATAAATACCCCAAAAAGCCATTTTCACTTCATTTCTCACATTTTCTTCCAAGCTCCTTCTCCCCTAAACGAGAGAAGCACCCAAGCTCTCTCCCTTCCCCCATGGTCGATTAAAGCCCGACCACCACTCCGATGGCCAACCACCGTCCGCCGTGAGCGACGGCTGAAAAAAAAACCAAACCTTACCAAAATCTTCCCCTTAACCCCGTACACCCGGATCCGAGCCTAAAATCCCATAAAAATACCCCAGAAGGCGTAAATCTTAAAAAGAATCGTTCGGTCCTCACCCTTTCCCGGTGACTTTTCCCCTTCTCGGTGTCTTTCTCCCTTCGATGGGGCTCCACCACACTCCCGGAGCTCTTGTCGACCCTTGATGAGGCAAAAAGGCTTGCCTTTTACGGTTTCATTTTTGACATTTTTAGTGTGGTTGGTTTCGGCCGACTGTTTGGAGGTTCTTGCTTGATATTTTATTGTTGTGGTGATTTTTTGTGTACTGTTTTCTTTTTGCTTTGTGTTTGATCTTGTTGAATGGGTTCTTTCTCGATGTTAGCTGATGTTTGTGACTCGATGATGTTGCTCGATCGTTGATGGTTTTTGTGTACCATTGATGTTCGGTCGTGTTTCTCATGGGTTTTGTATGTATTTGGTACTGTGATGGCCTTTGTTTACTGTGGGGGTCTCGTTGCTCCCTCTGTTCCCATTGTCTTCTGGCTCCGACCTTCCCTGATAATTTTTAGCTTTCTCCTACCTTAAACCCGCCCGATCTTTAGACTAAAATCCCGACTTCGACCTGACCTGACTCAAATATATCAATATTTTAAAATAATTAAAATAATATTTTTATAAGAATTTATTATAATGTTAATAATTAAATAATATATTTTAACATTATAAAAATGATAATATTAAAAATCTTATACCGGGTCGGGATAGTAATTTTTCACCTTAAACTCGACTCCGCACTGTCCCGAACCTACCTATTATATAACCCGCCCCGAATCTTGAAATTTAAAAAATAAAACTGTCCCTATGAGATCAAATCAAATCGGAGTCCATCAAATTCGAATATTTTAACTATCCGTAAATAAATCTTCGATGTTCTTTTAAATTTCCTATTTTCCCCTACCCGCCGTTAATTGTTCCCGTTTATTTTGGCACTAAACCCCTCCCAATCCATGGCGGCTTCCTTTTGCTGCGTGTACACGCATTTTTCCCCTTCCACGTCACTCGCTGTAATTTTTATTTGGGAAACTGCAACACAGATAATTTTATTATTAGTAAAATTAGCTAAATTTAGAAAAGTTACAAACAAATCATTCAATTTAACTATTATAACAAACATCACTTTACTATTACATGTTGATTTTTAGTTATAATTGAATAATCCAATAATTAAATTTGATAAATAAAATAATTTGATTATGATTAAAATTTTAATATATATTAAACATTAACGATAGAATGAGATGTTTATTATGATGTATTTATAATTTTTAAAATTAAGTGATTCATTTATAATGTTATTAATAATTGAGTTACTTATGGTGTAATTTATCCTATTAGTTTTTATATATTTTTTAAATTTAGAAATTCAAACTTAAAAGTGGACAAGTCCATGCCTGCTTCTCCCACCAGTCATTACTTGGGGGGAATCCTTATTTTCAACTCTTTTTATTTTCCATTTTTTTTGCTGCTTCTCTGCAACTCTTCTTTGTCTTAAAGAAGAAGAAACAATTAACCACTCGCTTTCCATTAGCCATGTGAAAGCGTATTGCCACATTCGATTCTCCATTTCTCCTCCTCCTCCTTATTGTTTTACACTTGATTTTGTTGAATTTCTTACGCATTCTCTTAAACCAGTTACTGACTCAGAGAGTTATAGCTTATAACTCGCTCTTTCACAGAGTCTAAAATGGCGTCTTCTTCTAGAACAAGAAACAGGTCGCCATTTTCACATCAGAAAACTTCTAGTCCGTTTTCTTCTACTTCTCCAACTTCTTCGTTTGTGAGCAACAAACTAATGCCTCGCACGTGCTCCTCGTCGGCGTCTTCGTACTTCAACTAGGGAGGCGGATACGGTTCTCGATCCACGACGGCAAGTCGGTCAAGGTCTGATTCGATGTACCAGGACTCACGCATTTACAATGCTAGCGCACCAGTGGCTCACGCGCCGGAGGAGATACAATTGGAAGCGCCGAGATCGGGAGATAGTATTTCGGTTACAATTCGATTTCGGCCATTGAAGTAAGTGTAGATCTGAGTGTAACGTATTAGATCCAAGTAGACGATTTCCCCCGGATTTTATTGTAGGGGTTGTCATTTTTCAGGAACTGCAATTCATTTGATTCATCTGCTCATTTTTTTCTTTGGTTATAGTGAAAGGGAATCACATAAAGGAGACGAGATCGCGTGGTACGCTGACGGGGATAGGATTGTGAGAAATGAGTATAATCCAGCTACAGCTTACGCATTTGGTAATTGCATATTGGTTTGTGACATTTAGGGATGAAATTTATTGCTGATTTCTTTCCTGCTCTTTTATTGGACTTTATGAATACATCTATTTGAGAACGATTCCAATTAAATGAAGAATTTGCATAATTTTCCGGGGAATCTGAGGGTGTTAGGTAATCGGAGTATAATTAATTAAGCTTTGCTAAATTTATGGTCCGAACGATTTAGCGCAAATCTACATTTAAGCCAGGCCATACATGTTTATATCATATGAAGGTTACTGGATTTACTTTTGCAGACAGAGTATTCGGACCTCACGCAACTACTCATGAGGTTTATGAAGTAGCTGCCAAACCTGTAGTGCAAGCTGCAATGGAAGGTGTCAACGGTATGGAAATTAAATTACTGTAACTTATACTAATATCTTTGAGTTGATTGTTAATTAAATTTAATCTAAAAGAAGATCTAAAGATAATTGGTTCAAAGTAATTTATTGCAATGTTGCTAAAATATGTAGGTTTGTTTCAATTCTGAAATTATTTATGTGTATAATCAGAGCTAATATTAGCTTCTTGGAATTATAGGAACTGTTTTCGCTTATGGTGTTACAAGTAGTGGGAAGACACACACTATGCATGTAAGTCTAGCTGCTTCTTCAAGCCTTTTCTATCTTAGTTCAACTATTTTTAATTGGACTATCTTAGGAATTCTTAAACTCTAGTTGCCTGTCAATTATTATTGCTTATTGTTCTGTCAAGTAGTCCTATTGATTGATTATAGTATCGATTTTGGTTGTATAACTATACATATAGGTTTTTAACTGTAAACAAATTTCTAGTTCATGTCGCATTTGATTGAATTTTCTTGATAGTTGAGGAAGGGAACTTGTAAAATAAACAATGGCTGAGTTCCCTCGACTATGGAAAGTAAATATTTAGTTACAAACATTATAGATGTACACATTAAAAGCTTCTAATCAGTGGAATTCTTTTATTGTTTTGTGTTTGTGGTTTCACATTTACTATACATGAACTTTACAATATGAGAATTTTAATTCCTACTCCGGAAACTGATACAATTTTCTGCCCAGAAAGTAGGCACATATGTAGCATAGGCAATGTTTCAGGAAAATATTCATCAATCAGAAAATCTTTACATTTATATAAGTGACAATGAAATCAAACCATGTACTCATTATTAATTTCAAATTTCATGCTCTCCCCAACTCTCATATACCATGGAAAAAACAAAGAGAAAATAAATAGTATTTCCTTTTCATTAACATGCAGTCTAGTAATTTCTATTCGTAATAATTATTCAATCAAATAAGATAAACAGGCTTGGCATGATACATACTGAGAATGAACTATTGTTTTCCGTTCATTCTTTCTTTTACATTAGACTGATATGTGTTTCTCTTATCCTATCATATAGCAATGTAACTACTTCCTGTCATCTTACCATTGACTTGTATCTTTGAGACTATGTACAGGGAGATCAAAATGCTCCTGGTATTATACCATTGGCAATAAAGGATGTTTTCAGCATTATCCAAGATGTAAGTGTTTTGGCATTGTTTATTAGGCCTGTTTGACTTGAACCAGTTGGCTCCATTTTGACACAAACCTCCCCATTTATTTATAGTTCATTAGTTATAGGCTTTATGGTAACATTTTATGCTTTGAAGTATGGCAGCACGGACGGCATTTCTTTATTGAAGTTAGGTTCAGCACTTGATTAACAAATATTCTTTACTTGTCGTTTTTAACACCGCAATTTGTTTATTTGTTTGTCTTTTATGTTTCACTTCAATCTTTAAGTTTTTATCGTGATACATCTTGTTCTGTATCATAGTTTACTTGCTTTTAATTAATTATGCTCATAGTTTTGTGTGGATATAGTTTTGATGACTAACTCTGCTAATAATTCAGACCGCAGGACGAGAATTCTTACTACGTGTGTCGTATCTTGAAATCTACAATGAGGTGTGTCGCTGACTTGTACTTTTAAGTTTATGGTTAAATTGATGACGTGGCCCTTGAAGTTAACTTTTCTTACTTCAGGTTTCATATCTGTTGCTACTGTTTATTTATGGTGTTACTTTGATGAGAATAGTTTTCTTTAGCGGTTAATTCTATAACCTATGTGGTTCAATATCTGGCACTCAGCTTCTTTCCTCTAAGGTTATTATTTCTTCCAATATGATTGTCTTATTGTGCTTCATGCACTAGGTGATAAATGACTTACTTGATCCAACTGGTCAGAATTTGCGTGTCAGAGAAGATGCCCAGGTTTTTTACTCAACTTATTTCAAATTTGTGCACTGTGTTTATTTGGTTTAAGGCCTCGGTCTCAATCTTTTTTAAAAGTCATGCACATAAATATGCTATTCTTCTCATCTAATGCTAATCTAATCAATCTTCTTTATTATATACATAGTTTCGTTTGGGGTGGCTTTGGTTTGAGATCATCAAAAACTTTTCAATAAAGCTGCTTATGGAATGGCTTGCAATCAATGTACATCAGTTTCTTACTTTTTCTTATGCTAGCATTTTCTTTCCAGGGAACGTATGTGGAGGGTATAAAGGAAGAAGTGGTTTTGTCTCCTGGGCATGTTCTTTCTTTCATTGCTGCTGGGGAAGGTGCTTTCTGGTGTTCCTTTACTCTTTTCCTGCCTTTTCCTTCCAATCTTTTTTAACCATGCTATATGAAATGAATGACCTATTAGTGAGAGTTTCTCCACTAAGTTTTGTTCTGTACGTTGATGAGCAGAACATCGTCATGTTGGCTCAAATAACTTCAATCTCTTTAGTAGCCGAAGTCACACTATATTCACGCTGGTAAACATTCTTGACATAGGGACTTCCTCATTCCATTGTCTAAACTTTTGGTAAAATTAAAATTGGTTTATTCCCTTTGTAATTTATGTTGGAATTTTTGGATGTCTGTTTTTTTTTTTGGTGTTCCAGAACCAGTATGAATACCTATGTTGTACATGCCCCTTCTTTCCTAACTATTCACGAATTTGCAGATTATTGAGAGTAGCGCTCATGGTGACGAATACGATGGAGTGGTCTTCTCTCAACTTGTATGATTTAGTTCATCAGTCAGTTTTCTGAAAGAATATTCCTATCAAATAAATGGCTTGACTTGGTTCTTTATTCCTTCATCTAGAATTTGATTGATTTAGCTGGATCTGAGAGTTCAAAAGGTGAGACAACTGGGATAAGGAGGAAGGAAGGATCTTATATAAACAAAAGTCTTCTGACTCTTGGAACTGTAGGTTTCTGGTATTTAACATTTCACACTGATGATGAACACCTATTACTTTGACATGTTGAACATCTGCAGTCTATTATAAGGGCAAAACATACAAGGCTTTATCCATATTCTTTCAACTACTCTGTAGGATTACAATTTATGTTACGTTGGTGGATAAAAAGAATTCGAATCTTGAATTTTTTATTTTCTCCGTCTTGTTTACTTTCTAATGACACAATTAACTATTCTGGAGGATGAAATGTTTTTTACCAATATTTTTTTTTATCTTGTAATTAGTTATTCTGATTTCTGTTTGAAGGTTATTGGAAAGCTAAGTGATGGAAAAGCATCCCATGTTCCATATAGAGACTCCAAGCTTACCCGCCTTTTGCAATCCTCACTAAGTGGTCATGGACATGTTTCTGTGAGTTGAGCAGTATATTTTATTTGCGACTTGCTTCCATTATGTGCTAATGCTTATAGGTTCATTGGATTTTAGTTCCTCCCAAGTCCCAACTTAAAATGTTAATTTCCCTTTTTCTTTCAATTATAGACTTTTTGTCCGCGATTACTAATACTTTATCTATACGTGACAGAAGTTAATTCATATATTTTACGATTATTTTCTTTGAAATTACAGCTTATTTGCACAGTAACACCTGCATCTAGTAATATGGAGGAAACACATAATACTCTTAAGTTCGCAAGCAGGGCAAAGAGGGTGGAAATCTATGCCTCGCGTAATAAGGTCTCTATTGCCTCATTGTTATTTATCTTGGGTAGTTATAATATTTAAGATTCAATCTTATGCTACTCTCAAATCTGAATTTGGTTACAGATTATTGATGAAAAATCATTAATTAAGAAGTATCAAAAGGAAATTTCAGTCCTCAAACAAGAACTTGATCATCTAAGGCAGGGAATGCTTATTGGTGTTAATCACGAAGAACTTTTAACCTTAAGGCAACAGGTCTGGCATTTTCTTTTCAGTTGTTCTATCTGGTGGCGGCATAACTATTTGCAGTATTCTTCATGCTATATATTGTTTGTGGGGCAGTTGGAGGAAGGTCAGGTGAAAATGCAGTCAAGATTAGAGGAAGAAGAGGAAACCAAAGCTGCTTTAATGAGCAGAATCCAGAGGCTTACCAAGCTAATACTTGTTTCTTCGAAAAATTCCTTACCTGTTTTGAATGATGTACCAAGTCATCAAAGGGGTCATTCTGTTCATGAGGATGATGTGAGTTTTTATCACAATTACGTCAAACCAAAATCGTGATTCTTTTATACTGATGGTCAAAGAAGTAAGACCACACAAATAGTTTATGCATACACACAGACAAGTATGTCTGTAGGTGTATATATATTACACAGAGAGGGCCAAACTGACCATTCTGTTCAAATGATGAAAAAGATGAAACCAAATATGTTCTATAACCTGGGAACTTTGAGTGTTGGTACCCTGGCTATGCATCTGTATCTCTATTATCACGTGTCTCTGTTAGTTGCTCCATGTTCACCTTTCTTTGCTTGGACTGTATTATCTAGTTATGTGAACTTTCTGTCTATTAACATGATTGTGATGTTAATAATTGACACATTTTCTTCACTAGAAACTGGAAATGCAAGGAGATAGCGAGAATCAAAAAGATCCTCTAACTTCAATGCTGCTTGCTTGTGATCCATCTTATGAGTTTAAACACAGAAGATCCTCCAGCAGAAGGAATGATGAGCTCTCACCAACAAGCAGCACCGTCACTGAGTCAACACAAGTGGGTGAACTTATTAGTGGGACCAAGCTTCTGGCAGTATGTTTCCTCTGTTTCGTTTATTTCTAATCTTTCTCTCTTTTTAAAAATTTCATATCTTCATGTTTTCCCAAAAAAATTTATTGTATTTTCCTTCATTAAGGTTTTTTCTTTCTAATTTTACAGTTGAATGGGCTTAGTGTCACGGTAGGACTGAAATTTCAGTTCTCTCCATCTTTTGATTTCATGTGTTTATTTTCTTTTATTTGGATGGTATATTTATAATCCTATGCGGTTCTATAGCGCAACTTAGTGAACATGTGCCTTTAGACTTATTGGGCTAAAAAATTCAGGGTCATATAACATGTGAATGATCTATAAACAGCTCTTAGGCATTGCCTTCATCTTTCTGATTTTTCTCGTTTGCCGTTGATAATATAATGATAGAAGCAAACACTTCTGTGGTTATTATAGGGTGGAATGGCATCAGATCAGATGGACCTTCTTACTGAGCAAGTTAAGGTGCTTGCTGGAGAGATTGCTTTTACCACAAGTACCCTGAAACGCCTGTTGGACCAGTCTGTAAATGATCCCGATAGCTCAGTATCTCAGGTATTATTTCCTCTTGTATTTCCTATTGCACAATTTTATTTGAAGGTATTGTCAATGGACGTTACTGTAGTTGGAAGAATGAGGGGGTTTGTTGGTATTCCAAGGGTATCTTACTTTTGTATGGCAAAAATGCAATGTGGAACTGCTTTGCTAATACTTATGCACCATTCTGTTCATAAATTATCTGTACATCCATGAGGTTATAAGATATGCAAGTAATGCAAATGGGGTGCCACTCGATATTAAATTTGCATATTTCTCTTAGGGTCTTAATGTGGTTTTTGGGTATTTTCTGAAAACAGATTCAGGATTTAGAAAGCGAGATTCAAGAAAAAAGGAAGCAGATGAGGGCTTTAGAGAAACACATCATTGAGAGCGGGGAAGCTTCAATTGCTAATGCATCATTTGTTGATATGCAGCAGGTAATGTTGTCATTTTTTTATGGCAATGTTGGTCGTGTTTTTTATTTTATGTTTAATTATTTGTTGAATTTTATGCCATTGCTTTCACTTAATTAATTCTAAATGCTTTCTTGTTGCAACAGACAGTTATGAAATTGATGACACAGTGCAATGAAAAGAGTTTTGAGCTCGAGGTGAGTGATTTTGTTCATTCTTCTGATTTACGGAGTTGGACATTTGATAGGCATTGTTTGGCCATTGATTATGGCTTGTTAAACAGTGACAGTTCAGTAAATACTAAACTTTTCTGATAATGGCGCAAGTGGTGTGGCAGTGATAAATATGATTCTTTATGTTCGTTTTGTAATCAAGTTGATTCTTCTCCATGATACAGATAAAATCGGCAGATAATTGTATCCTGCAAGAACAACTACAGAACAAGGTGATAGCCTGCTCGCCGTCTTTTTTCCTCTCTTCATAAAATGCCTGATTATCTGTCTAATATAAAATTTAGTTAGCGTTTGACAGAACTATATTTTCACTCGTGGTTTTGCTTGTTGCAGTGTTCTGAGAATGAGGAATTGCAGGCAAAGGTGAATCTCCTGGAGCAGCGATTGGCATCTATCTCTGGTGATAAATTATTGTCTTCTGCACACGGAATATCTGCAGAGAATGCCAATGAGTTAAGAAAAAAGATTCAGTCTCAGGTATTCTACTTATTGTTGGGATTGTCGAACTACGAATGGCTTTAGTTTTCTGTTTTCACAAAGTTTCGGTCTTCATTATAAAAACCTCCCTCTGCCAGAACCAAGTTTTGTGCCTCTACATAGTTAATTATATATGATATATTATAGCATCTAGATGTCGAGAGAGAGATTTGATTCTCGACGGCACAGTCCTTTTTCGTCGATCTAAGTTGTGTTTATCTATGCAGGAGATTGAGAATGAGAAACTAAAACTAGAACAGGTGCAACTTTCAGAGGAGAAAAGTGGGTTGTGTGTCCAAAATCAAAAACTGGCTGAAGAAGCTTCATATGCGAAAGAATTAGCCTCTGCTGCTGCTGTTGAGTTGAAGAATTTGGCTAGTGAGGTGACCAGGCTTTCGGTGCAGAATGCAAAATTGGAGAAGGAATTATCGGCTGCTAGAGAGTTGGCACATTCGAGAGGCTCTTCTAATCAAACTGTCAATAGTGTCAATCGCAAGTATAACGACAGCACGAGACATGGGAGGAAGGGGCGGCTCTCCGGTCGTTCTCATGACATTTCCGGAGCCGCAGGTGACGGCTTCGAATCGTGGAATCTCGATCCGGATGATCTAAAGATGGAGCTTCAGGCTAGGAAACAACGGGAGGCAGCTCTTGAAGCAGCACTAACCGAGAAGGAAATCATAGCAAACGAATATAGGAAAAAAGTCGAAGAAGCAAAGAAGAGAGAAGAAGCTCTGGAGAACGACTTGGCTAACATGTGGGTGCTTGTCTCGAAGTTGAAGAAAGAGGGATCCGATACTCCCGAGAGTAACGCAGTCGAGCAGCATAGTAATGGTATCGACAATGTCGTCTATGATCCAAAGGCAAACAACATTGAGAATAACAATATCCTCAACGAGAGCCAAGTTTCAGAAGTGTCATTGGAACCAGCTAATGGAACGCCTCAGGAAGAACCCCTCGTAGTTCGCCTGAAGGTTTGTTTCTATACATACTCGTAGGCTGTTTCTCTATGTTACTCATAATGTGTCTGACTCGGGCATATTTACAGGCACGAATGCAAGAGATGAAGGAAAAAGAGCTCAAATCCGTTGGAGATGGAGATGCACTTGTGTAAAGTATGTTTCAAATCACCAAATGCAGCAATTCTTCTCCCTTGTCGGCATTTTTGTTGTAAGTCATTTTCAAACCCATAATGTTATGAAGTATACATTTCGAGATGCTTATGGTGTGCCTTTTGCAGTGTGCAAATCATGTTCCCTTGCCTGTTCCGAGTGTCCAATCTGTCGTACAAAGATTGCGGGTAGGCATTTTGCATTCACTTCTTGACGCAGCTACTCATACCCTACTAATGAAGGTCATGCTAAATCCATCTTTTTTCTCTTTATATGTCCACTCTCGACTCACCATTAGACATGCTCATAAATCGAGTTGAATCAGGTCAGAATTATAAAATAAGTTTACTCATTCGGGCCTGGTTCGAATTACACCCAAGCTCAAAATCTCGAAGTTTTTGATAAAAAAAAATATTAAATTCAAAAAAAAAAAGAACCAAGTTAAAATATTGGACTCATTTAAAATATGAAACCGGTTTAAGTTCTAATAGTTAAAGCTCAAGGCTATAAAAATTAGGTATATCATATTTTAATGTAATTATAAAAGATATATTAATAACCTGATGTTTAAAAATTATTAATACTAAATCAAAATGATATCAATAGGTCTAAAATTAATAAAAGAAAAAAATGTAAAATTGTTAAATATATTATTATTCGACTTTTAGGTTATTAAATTTACTAAAACATTTATCATGTTTTTACTCGTGGACTGAATTTTGACATTTATTTTTTTAAATTTGCAGGGTTTCGTGACGATATATGTGTAATATAACTACATAAGCAAGTGGGTAATTCTTTCATTAATTTGTCCGTAACTGTTTGAAAAGGTATGTCTGTAGTTTGTTTGTTTTCTACCTCACCGAGGACTGCAAAAACAAGAGATTAAAAGGCTAAAAAGGGTTCCCCCCCCCCCCCCTTTAAAGGGTAAAACCACAAGATGCATAAACTCACATACAAGAAGTTGCGTAGTTTTAAATTCGCAGCAACGAAAGTCATCAATTTAGACAATGAAATTTTTTTTCTGTACATAAATGATTTACACTTCTTATGAAGTGAGTTTTTTTTTCATGTAGGCCATTTATAAACTGTTTTTCTTCGTATATGTGATTTTTGTTTGTTATTATATTTATTAATTTCTTTTAATAATCTATCACGATTATATGATAATATATGCTTTGAATTTTCTTAAATAATTAATAATAAATACATTGCATTTGTTTAAACCCATAATATTTTTAAAAAGAACAATATTTTTTATCTGATAACCTTTGATGGGTTCTATTTGCTCATTAATAGAATCCATTGGACAACTAAAATTGATTCATTACTTGACATGAAGTAAGATTTGTTAAAGTATTTAACCTAAAGAGGACAAATAATTTTTTTTAAAAATGGTACAGAATATAAAATAAAAAAATATTTATTTATTTTTTAAATTTAAATAATTTATTCATAAACTGAATTTATATTATAAAAAACAACACATTGAGCAACGAGATAATTGTTGGAAAAAGAAATCCCAGAGGAAAAGGAATTGGACAAAACACTGCAGATGGACATATTCGAATCTCCCCAGCTAAAAGAACACGGATTTGTGTGGAAATTGTCGAACTGAACAAACAATCCACGTGGCTAAAAATTCAAAACATTTGCCTCTTCTTCGAACTATTTGAACCCGGAATTGCTTCATATGCTACAAAGAAATATTCATACCATCTTCGGTATCTCATCCCTTCAATGATCTGCATGAAATTTTTGTATTAAAATTCGAACTGTTTTGTGAAGATCCGTCACAACTCAAGTTTAAGCTTATCTTTTTTATATTTAAAATTATATTTTTGTTCCGTTTTGATCATCAACCGTTAAAAATAAACATTATTACAAATGTAATAATTTTTTATTGTTTTCAATAATAACATAGCACTATCTTATAGTGGACACGTCGACATCACCATTAATTTTTTAATTATAAGTGGTCAAAACAAAATTAGAACATAAATTTAAAAAAAAAATAGTAGTTTATGACTAAAACGGAACCGCAAGATATATAGTTTGCCCTAAATTTTTTTTAGGTGAGTTTAATTATCTCTAGTTTTTTTCAATAAAAAAATAGAATTAGTATATGAAATCCTTACAGAAGCCATTGGCAGGTGAGGGAGAGTGAAGAAAATCATCGACGAGCCAACCTGGTATTGTCTCCATCAAGTACGCTGATATGGTACTGCTCGTTGATGACAATTCTGGTTTCTCAATCGATGGAGAGCTTAACATTTCACTGTTAGAAGCTGTCTGCAAGCTTTTACTCTCACCATTAGAGGAAGAAGAAGAAGAGAGCTTAACGCCGGAGAGAAGAAACCTGTTGTGTTTCTGGGTATACTCATTGGCTTCATGAATTTGAAGGTCACATTTGATACAAAGAATTGCTCTATCTTCTTGACAAAATATAAATCCCTTCTCTCCTACAAGTCCAAACCAAAGCTATTTCGGACTTAATCCATATCATTAATCACTCTTTCAAGTATTAATATTATATCAATCATATTTCCTCGTAGTTATTATTGATGCTGTTATCTAAATTTGTAAAATTTGAAAGAGAATAAGTCAGATTACTCTCCTAATATTAGTTAAAAGGTTTTATAATGAGGCTTAGTTTTAGAATTAAATTTTAGGTCATAATAGCTACTCGTATGCTGATAAATTGAATGGATATTATTGTCTGAGAATGAATTTGACTCTGATTAATTACATGAGCCTGTGAGTAATCATGTCAAGAGAAAATAATTGCTCGAAGAAATAAAGGTTTCTAGAGCATTTTCTTTTTCTAGAAACCTTGATTGTTGGAAGACTTATTTGTAGAAGAAATCCGAACAAAATATAACATTGACAGGAACAAAATCATGATTGAGTAGTGAAGAGACAAGATAATCTTTTGCATATTAAGAATGCTACACGTTATATTTGAGTCAATATCTAACACCCTAACTTATATTTAGACTGACGAAATGACCTACTTAATACGACATTAATACTTATTGAAGAAGAGAAAATGTAAAACGACGAACCAGACAGATGTCGCAAAGCGAGGAATCATTGAATTTAGGTTGAAGAAGAGAGGAACGAGAATGTTAAGTGGCGAGCTTGTTGGCACGGTGAACTCAAAGATCACATACATAGTAAAGGGCAGCTTCATCGGCGTAGCAGAGGACGGTGGCTTCTTGTTTGCAGCACACATCACACCAAATCTTCATGCCTTATATTACCTTTCAATCTTTTTCTACATTCCCTTTGCTATTTAACGGCTGTGGTATTATTAAGCCCGTGATTTTATATTAGGAGATAAATTTTTAAATTTTTAAGAAAGATAAATTTATAGGAGATTAATAGAAAATTTATAAAATATTGAAAAATATATGATAATTTTAAATTTTCAGAATCATTTTTCTTCAACCCATCCCTAATATTATTGATATGTACAACACATGTAAGTGGAAAAGCTAGGAAGAAAAAGGGAATAAATACTAGGGATGGGAGAATGACCTGAATCCGACGGAGAAATCCGAAACCCGGTCAAGTTTGAGTCGAATTGGGTTTGAATGATATCGGGTCGAGTCGGGTATTGGGGATTTTTTCGGGCCGGGTTCGAGGACGGGGCAAGGTATCCCCACCCCGACCCGATTTTATATATATATATATATATATATATATATAATATTTTATATTTTTATATTAATTATATATATAATATTTTATATTTTTTATATTAATTATATATATAATATTTTTGGGTTCGGGTTCAGGTTTGAATATAATATTTCGGGTCGGGTTCGGAGACGGGACAAAATCTCCAACGAGATGCTCCGATAAAAAATCTGACGGGGATCGAGTCGGGGTCGGAGAAGAGATTTATTTCGGGTTTGGGGACGGGACGAGCAAAACCCGCCCCGTTGCCATTCCTAATAAATACAGACAAAAAGGTATAATTGGGGTATGGGCAGCCCCATTGGGATGAACAGCTTATAAATTATGTAATAAATAATGTTAAGGGAATGTTCTTTTAGCTCTAGCTATATATATATATATATATATATATATATATATATATATATATATATATATATATATCTCATATCTGACCTTTGAGGAAATCTCTGGACTTTTGGATAGAATCTGACCTTTGATAAAAGGTCTAGAAGATTTAGATATGAAAATTTTGATCTGAATTTAGTTATTTAAATTAATCTATTTGATTTGAGATATGATATGGATATGATCTGATGATCTAAATTTGATTTAAAATTCGAAATAAATCGAATTAAATTAAAATAGACTTGAATTAAAATCCGGTCAATATAAATCCATGTTCAATTTAATTTAAACCTTGAATAACTCAAATCGAAAATAACATAAATTGAGAATAATCCAAATCGATTGAAAAAATATAAACATTAACTTCGTAATCCCTTTTAAAAGAACAAACATCACTTCCATTAAAGTTAAAATAATTTGATTAAAAAATGAAAAAAGGGATCAACTTTTACTCCGATAAGTTGATAAAAGACATGAACATTAAAACATTAAAATTATTATTATATTTAATTTGTCATATTAAATATGTTAAATTGAATATTATTGTACTTTCGCTGAAAGATCCTTTGCGCATCTATTTCATATCAGATCTTTCGCATATTAATTTAGTATCAAAGAAGTTCTAGAGAACTCAAAAACATTTTCGAATCTTTAACCTTAAAGAATTTTGGAAGATATAAAGGAAATACCTTTGAAGAAAGGATAACAGAAATCTAAAATATCAAAAAATCGTGATTTATTAACAAGACTTAGAACAAGTTCACATGACCTATTAAGATCAAATTCACTTTTATCGATCAACATACATATAGCCATAATAATCCTACATCTAGATAAAACTACATCACCCTCATTTACTTTTCTACCTTCTCATAGACATAGTCAACGATCATTCTTCAATGAGTATGACTCTGTTCAAATCAGAAAAAAAATAAACTGCTTATAGCGTCGTAATTAATTTAATCTATAAATAAAAATAATATATTTTTTATTAATTTTATCTTTAAAAAAACCATTTTATCATCACCATTATTTTTCATTTTAACAAAATTACAATTCTTTGAAAGTTTTGATAAAAGAAATTGGGTGGCATTCCAAGGAGACAAATAAAACTTTTTCAGAGTTGGACGTGGATGATGTTCTAATAATATTAAAAGCCCCACTAAGCAACTTGTCACCATAAAAAATGTAAATAGAAATACAATGAGAGAAGAGATGGAGATAAGGTAGACAAAAAGACAACTTTCGCTTTCGAATTATTTATTATTTTTAAAAAAATTATTTGATACTCAAAATAGATTATTTTTTTAATTTTAATAATTTTATCATCATAACACGTTTTTTTTTTAATTTTTATGACATATTTCTCTTTTTTTTATTAGGGAGGATAAAGGATTGAATTAGAGTCTAATTTTTTGTAAATTCGACCTGACTAAAAAATATGTATCTTTCACCCGAATCTGACCTAACATGAAAATTTTATATCTTCCAGCCAGCCTGACCAAAAAAATATATATCACCCACTCGACTCCGACCCGACCTAATTTTTTAGAGTATAAATTCGATCCCATTCAACATGACCGATATGAAATAAGGATTTAATTAAAAAATTAATATATTTTTTAAGCAAATTACATTAATATCCTCGGGTTGGATCGGAGTTTTTTCACCCTCCACCCGAACCCGACCCGACCTCATTCCTTAAAATCCATCTCGACCTGATCTAAACCTTTTTTTATTAAAAAAATCCAACTCTGTCGGGTTGGGTAAGAACCCGTCGGATTCAGATTAAATTATCGTCCCTACTTTTGATACATTTTTTTATTGTTTCAAAGTTATTTTTAT